TGAGTTATATGTACACACAGAACGAGATGAGGGAGCAAGGACTTACCTGTTGATGTTGCGACCCAGAGTGTGCATGCCAATGTGACTCTGCTCGGTCATCTCGTGCTGCGACACCGTCAACGGCGAGGGAGGAGCAGCTAGAAATCCGAAAAAATAATTCAATGACCCAAGAATTAATACCAGTTAACCTACGAGGCATGCTGCTCCGATCGTCATACGTAGTGGGCGGTGGCGGTGGCAGCGATTGCATCATGCCCGCCGACGGCAGGTTCACGTGTGTGGCTATCTGCTGGCTGGGCGGCATCGGCAGGGCGCTGTACCCAGCTGCCCGCTCATTGCCCGCCGCTCCGCCACCGGTGGTGGTAGTGGTCACCGACGAGGCCGTTGACATGCGCTTGGGATGCCCAATGGGATAGTTGGGAGCATAGTGCGAGGGCACCTGCGGCGGATTGACCACCGGCGGAGTGCGATACTCCCGGGAACTCTTGCCCAACGTCCCGGTATTGCTAACCGATTTGCCCAAAGTCCCGGTATTCCCGGCACCACGCGACATTTGCGGCGGTGTCGGTGGCTTCGTGGTGGGCGGCGGGCCCACCACCGACGACGACGGCACCAGGGATTGCACAGAACCATGGCTGGAGCCTCGATGCTTCTGCCGCGCCTGAGGATGCGAGGCCGAGTTGATGCCATGGCCGATCTCGTCCAGAATCGAGTAATCAATGGGCTTGCGCACATACTTGATCGGCTTCTCCGGGTTGATGGGAGCCACAATCTTGAACTGGCGCGAGCTCACTTTGTTGGCCGTCAGAACGCCAATTTCACTTGGGGATTAAAAATAATAAATTAATTGTTACCTATCTCAAGCTTAGTTTACAATGGTGGACCAAATAATTGCTATCTATCCGCAGAAAGTGTATTCCCTTACCGCCTGGCCACCTTCTCCTTGTGTATGTGCACCGTCTGGGCTATGTGATTCATCTGGGACTCCATTTCGCCCAGCTGCTGCGCCTGCAGCTCCAGCAGCTGCATGTAGCTGTAGGCGAGCGTGTTGATCTGGTAGGCGACGCTGGCCAGCGACTGGGTGGTGTAGTTCTTGGTGGCCTCCAGTGCCGCCTTCTTGTTCTCGGCACGGTAGTAGGTGTCCTCGCAGTAGTCGGCCACGCGCTCCAAATTCGTGTAGCTGTCCCGCAGGCTCTGGCGGCCGTCGGGGATCTCGGTGCGTATCAGAGAGGCTAGTTCGTCCATGATGTTCTCGCTGGCCATGGGGGCTTCGGTCAACATGGGTATGGATGCTGTGTGAGAGGAGCACAATTAGTTTCTTTGCAGTTTACGCACTTTCCAGGCCCGTAAACACTTGGGGCGTGACTTCCTCTCTGCCGACGTCGACGCCAGCGCCCCAAATGACCAATTGGGCGCTTCAAATGACCGAATTTTCACCTGCACTCACTTTATTGACTAATCAATTGCACTGCAGAGGCTTTTCCGAGCTAATTAATATGCGTTAAATGCAGTTAAATGCAATTTTTCTTTACATTTTCCCGAATCGAATCGCTATTTTTTTAGAACACAGATGCACGTCTTGCAACACTATTTATAGAGCAGATCTTAATATTCAGCTACTTTCTAGCTAGTTTGAACCATCCAAAAATTTCATTTTCGCTAAATAAAACCAAGGAATTAACTATGTTTGAAAGATGTTTTATTTTAATTGTGTGTTAATTTTGTTATAATTAATTTATAATGCTTAAATAATCAACTTAATGAAATTCCCAAAATTATCTTGTTTTTAGCTAATTATTAATTGCACACTACTTTTGGTATTTCCTTGTTATCGTTATCCGGTCACATTGGTTGTGAGTAATAGAAATTTCGGAAATATTTATTTTCTTTGCCAAAAATGTCTCACCAAACAGGAATAAGAGGTTTGTAGGTGAAAAGAGCACCTTAACCAGATTCTACACATTTCCATCTTCAATTCCAGCCAACGATCAGTTAGCAAAAGTGTTCGGCAAGGCGAAAAAAGACAAATATCGTGTGATAAAAGTTTCGATCGAGAACGGTGAGTGGAAATGCGGAATCTGTGATACATATATACACACGATTATATACTAAGTACGCCCGCTCTGATAACGCCGTTTCCGGCTGCACCCTTTCATTCACAGAGGAGCTGAGTTGCGGAGCCACGGCAGAGGCGAAGAAGGACTGGGAGCGAGACTATGACAAGCTAGTAGCTCCTCTGCTGGAGGCCGATGTGCCCTGTTACATCTTGTACCGGCTGGATGCCAAGATACCGCTGGGACACAGCTGGCTGCTCATTAGCTGGACTCCGGACACGGCTAGTATCCGGCAGAAGATGGTCTACGCCTCCACCAAGGCCACGCTCAAGACAGAGTTCGGGTCGGCCTACATTACGGAGGAGCTGCACGCCACCACGCTGGACGAGACGACGTTGGAGGGCTACCGGCGACACAAGCGGGAATTCGCAGCCCCCGCCCCGCTCACCATGCGCGAGGAGGAGCTGAAGGAGCTGCGCAAGACGGAGGTTCACACCGAGATTAGTACGAACACACGTCACCAGACGCTCGGCGGCATTAACTGTCCGCTGAGCGAAGCCACGCTGGACGCCGTCCAGGATCTGGTGCGCGGCCGCTACGACTACCTGCAGTTCCGCATCGATCTCGAGGAGGAACGCATCCATGTCTCCCATGCGGCCAAGGTGGAGCTTGCCGATCTCCCCAAGCAGGTGCCCGAGGATCATGCCCGCTACCATCTCTTTCTGTTCCGGCACACGCACGAGGGTGACTACTTGGAGTCGTTCGTGTTCATTTACTCAATGCCCGGCTACTCCTGCTCGGTGCGCGAGCGAATGATGTACTCCAGCTGCAAGGCACCTTTCCTTGAGCAGCTTGCGGCCCTGGGCGTGGAGGTCATCAAGAAAGTGGGTTAAATCGGGGCTTTATAGTTGGTCCAAAGAATTAATTCATATATTTCTTTATTCAGCTGGAAATCGACAGCGGCAGCGAGCTGACTGAGGCGTACCTGCAGGAGGAGCTGCACCCCAAGAAGATCCTGCACCGACCGGCCTTTGCAAAGCCCAAGGGGCCACCGAATCGCGGCGCCAAGCGCCTCACACGTCCCACCGAGGACTAAGTCTGAACCCTGATCCCATCGAGTCAATTCTATATTGTATTTAACCACCAAACCGTCTGTTCCTGGCAGAGCATTTAATTTATTGTACTCAAGCGAGTTTCGTGTTCATCCTATCTGTCTTTCTGTATCTATTTTGTGCCCCCTTGCCAATGGGGGCGTCACGCATAGCAGCAGCCAATGAGGGCTTCCTTGAATGTATTTCTTGTCTCTATGTTTTAGACGGACATATTTGCAATTTATTTAAATTAAATTAATAAAAAACTCACTAAGTTTACACTCAACATCCTCACTTGACCGACTCCAGGGTGACCTGGGCCTGCTTTTCTGGCATCTTTTCGTCATGGACCTTGAAGAGCTCTGGTTCTTCGCCCTCGGTCATCTTTTTGAATGCCTGTTGGATATTATCGTCGCGTTCTAGCCGCCACTTGTACTGCCAGTAGCGCACCTCCTCCATCGATGTGCCGGATGCCTTCATCAGCAGCAGAGATGTAACTCCCGCCACTCCGCCCAAGAAGCCACCGATAATGCCGCCCGCAGCCATGCCGCGCAATCCCAGATTCATTTTGTACAGAGACCCAGTGAGTGAACCAGCGGCCAGGTACTCATAAATGGAGGATTTTCCGCGGTAAACGGAGATGCAGGTGATGATGCCGCTGTGAGGGGGTCGTAAACAATTAGAAAAGAGTCCGAGATGCATTCAAGAGAACTCACAAATAGGAGGTGGTAAAGAGGCCCACTCGCCAGCCCCATTTGAAGCCGCCTTTGGCAAAGTTGACCGTAAACTGATCTTGTAGCTTTTTCTGTAAATTGAAGGGGCAACAACTTTTATAGCTGATTATATCGGAATTTAAAGTAAATCGTTACCTTGGCATCAAAGTGTGATTTGAAGGCGGTGGCCTGGTTGTTCTCCATGAAATTCATGTACCCGGTGCGCGATTGTGTAACGCCGCCGTAAATCGCTCCGATCAGGAAGCCCAGGAAGCCAGCCTGGTAAATCGAGTTCAGTTCGGAGGATATGCTGCCAAACTCACTGGAACGTGTGGAAAGTATTTAATTAGATTTTGTGCACTTGGAATTATCCAAAAAAAACTAACTCGATGGAGAACATATGCTTTAGTCGCTCCAGGCCGGTCTCCTCCAGCGGCTTGCTGGCCAGGAACGCCTTGTAGGTCTTGTTTTCCTTGTCCACAATATCATCCGGACTGCGTTCAACTGCCGGGAGGATGCCGGCGATTAGCAGTCGGTGTCCTTTTCTCAGAAAATTCATTTTTTTAAGAGAAAGGGACGTTGAATAACGTGGAAAAATAAAAACAAAAATCAGCTGTTTTGCGATAGGCTTTTTATACGATAAGTTTCTTGTACTGAAAAATAAAAGTCGATGTCTCGATAGCAACCAGTGCTGCCAACTTTTCCGTGCTAGAAATGGCTAGATCGAATTCAAAAATAGCCAGAAAAAAACACATTTAAATATTGATTGAATATTTTTTAATATATAGATTTAATTGAATAATTATATTTAAATATTTTTGAGGCACTTCGAAATTGTGGCAACTAATTAAATAATATAAAATATAAATTATAATATTATTATATTATATATATATATATATAAATTAATTCATGTATAGTAAGAAGTTAAAATATTTAACATTGTGCTAAAAATAATCATTACCGTATGTGTAAAATCAGCTTCAATTTGTAAATGTTCATCTGGCTAAAAACTCGTTCGGAAGCAGCTAGTTTTTGTTATTTGTCCTGCATTTGACGATTAAAAGTTGCCAGATCTGGCAACTGGCCGGTAAAAGGCTAAGTTGGCAGCACTAATAGCAACTTCATTGGATTTCCAGTGTTGGATAGCAACAGGTTCTACCGCGTTTTGTTTTTCAGACGCCGGCTTGCAGAAAAAATATTAGCAAAATGGATGGTAAGTGTGGTTTGGGACCGCCTGGAATCGCAGGATGAGCCATCATGGCAGAATACTTGACCTGTTGCCGAATTCTACGCTTTGCAGGTGTGACCGAGGACATGTGGACGCCGTACAAGCACCTCTACAGCGTGTTCCGGCAGACCATGTCGACTCAGAGCGGCGTCACCTCGGACTTGGAGCTGTGCCTCAAGAAGCATAAGCAGAACTTTACAAACTTTCTGCGAAATCCGGTGAGCATAGCGTTGCTGCAGCGACCAATACTTATAATAATATATAATCATAATTCCCACAAATAGCCCAAGAGCGAGAAGAGCCGGAATCATCTGCGAAATGTGCAAAACGATGGCGTCTCAATGCCAGGACAGACTCGCAAGATGCACCTCTCGCAGGACCTCATCGACGAGGCGTTCATTTTGTCGGACATGTTCGATTTGGACGAGGTCTTCGCAATGGAACTGCTATACACCGCCCAGCGGCAGCAGATGCATCATCCGGGTCTGCCGCGCGGTCTGGTGGCAGTGTTGCTCTACTATGACGGCCGTAAGGCCATTAGCTGTGCTCTGCGCGACATGTTCCAGGCGGTGAGCGGCGTCTCCTGGAGCACGGAGCTGCCCCGGGAGGTGACTTGCCTGATCACCAACTATGCCCAGAATCTTGTAGAGGATTCCAACATATTGGGACGCCTGCTGGAACTCCTCGAGGAAATGGATCTGGACAAGGAGGTAGGCTTTGAAATGTGACCTTTTGAGGACCTTTCATTATATCAATAATTTTCCCTTCAGTGCATCCTGCTAACCAAGAACCGCGCCTTTGGCTCCAAAAAACACCAAAACCAAGTACTGGGTCTCTACGAGGACATTCAGCGTGCTTTGGCAATGGCTTTGTTCCACTGGTCCGCCCAGCGCGGGCTTCCCCGTTCCATTGCTATCCGGCTGCTGCAACTGCTAGCCAACCGCAAGACCACCGATGCCGACGGCAACATTGATGACATCACCACGATCATGCTAATGGCGCTGTTGTACGCTTACGACACTTCGGTGCTGTTGGTCACCGATCACAATAATCCACTCACTGGCCGCCTGCCCATTCTGAGTGATCCGGAGTTTGCCAAGAGCTTCCTGGATGCGTTATATGCGCAGAACAGTTGGCAGATTCCCCGCCTGGACGCCGTCATCAAGTACAGCTTTGGTTTGACTCTGGCTAGCCTGCGGCATGCTCCTAGCCAGTTGCAGGCGGCTGCTCTGTCGGTGATCAACCGGGACGAGCAGCTCATCGATGAGGCCCTAGGCGCCAGCGTGTTTGCCTTCTTTTATCGTCTGTTGCTGGAGAAGGATCTGGTGTACACGTAAGAGCGCTTCTTATGTATTTTCGGGATATAGACTTATTCTTGATATCGATCTCTTGTCACAGCACCGAATTCATCTACCGACGCGTTCACCTGCATATCACCGACTTCATTGACTTTATGCATGCTAAGGTTTCGGAGCTGCGGGGTCGGGCAGATGAGTCGGCCCGCACGGTAATCAGCTTTTTGAACGAGGGTCTCGAACCGCCGCCCAATCTAGACGCCAACTACGAGGTCCTCATGCTGTGCGTGGCCAAGCTCTATGGCGATCCCCGAGTGACAATTAAGCTCTGCAATGAGTATTGGGGTCCCAGCGATCCCACAGCAGCCTTGAAGAACACCTCGCGGTCCGTGTCCCTGTTTAAGTTTATCAGTTTAGCCAGCGAGCTGCTTCCGCAGACTCTTTTCAAGTCCTACCTTAAGATGATCACCGGGTTGACCCGCACCGAGTTCTCCGCCCGCTGCGCTTTCAATATGCTAAAGCATCCACAAGTGTCCACCGCTACATATGCTGTGAGCTGGGATCACTTTTTTACGACTTTGGGAAACTATTACAAGTGAGTTTTACAGTACTTCGAATTTCGATCGAATTTACTTAATTAAGTTTTTTATATTCGTAGCCTAATGCGAAATGACTTTAACACCAACATAAGCACATCCGGCGACACCATTTATCGCAGCCGGTCCGTACCACGCTCCATAACGCAACGCGAAACGGAACACTTAGTGGCCGTGATGGGCATCATACAGGCTGTGGCCGAATATGACGAGATCTCGCGCATCATAATCTGTGACCAGGCTAACTGGCAGGTGCTGCAGGTACTGCTGGGTTTGGTGGCCTGCTCCACGCCGCTGATTCTCAAGGCAGAAATCCTTACCGCGTTGGCCGCCATGGCCAGGTCAAGGAAGACGGCGCGCGCAATTTGGTGTCATTTGGAGGACTCACAAATTATTGCCACCATACCCACGGCGAGCAGCTACGGCCAAAGCAGCTTGGCCGAGGAGATTGAGCAGAATGAGAGCCGCTTGGAGTCGTACAAGCTAACGAGGGGTATCCTGAAGTTGCTCTATACCCTTATGACTGGTCACATGCCCAAGAATCTGGGGGTTGGCACACGGAAGCCGGGCTACGATGCCTATCTTAACTTTGTGCTGGAGTCTGTGCTGCTGAAGTTCTACAATCGGGCGTATAAGGATCCCGCCGAGAAATGGCAAGTGGGCGCCCAGTGCCTGAAACTACTCTACTTCCTGCTGGCTACCTACCGGCCACGACCCTCCGACTTTCAGGAGATGCGCGAGGAGCATCCGTATCCCGGATATCACATTATGCTGCAGCTGCAGGTGAAGTCAGATGTTCTGCGGCTGCTCCTGATGATCGTAGAGGAAGCACGCGAGCGCCTGGACGAATACAACCGTTTCAGGGGCAAGGAACTGCTCGAAGAGTGTTCCCTCTACGCCCTCCTACTGCTTGAAGCGGCGCTGGCCAAGCAGAATGAGTTCTTTGAGGCCCATTCGGCCGCCAACTGTCCCATCCAGCTTTCGGGACTTAATCGAATGCTTCTGGACCTCAATCCGCGCAGCCGCAAGCCCGACCACGTCCTGAACATTGTCAAGTTCGTGACGTACAACAGCTGGCTGCCGCGCCACACGCTGGCCGCCGTCAAGATCCTTAAGGCGGTGACACAGCTGCCCAACGTCTCCGCCCAAATCCTCAGTATGTATGCCCAAAATAGCACCGAGAAGCTAGAGATCCGGCAGGGCTTCATCGAGTGCCTGGAGATGGATGTGCGAGCGAGCCACCCCAGTGATGACCTGCTCGATCAGCTAGCCCTCAACGATCACGTGCCCTTCATGGGTTTTGGCATCCAGGAAGGCGGCGACAAAGACCGCACTGAGACTGAGACTCAAATCGAACTATATGGGGGAGAGGAGTTTCATTTGGAGCGTAAGCCGGCGCGCATCGAGCTGCAGCTGAAGGAGTCTATTGTGCAACTCTTCGAGGTGAATCTCAGCCAGCAATTGCCCAACTTTGTCTACTTCTTGCTTGGCGTGGACGTCTTGCGCGACTTTATGGCCAACGAGAAGCAGCATTTGGGCATTGAGATGTACGGCTCCTGCGTCAACTCGCTCGTACTGCTGTTAGAGAAGTACCTGGAGGTAAGTTGGACCAGATTAACTGGTCTCTTTCATGTCTAAACAATCTTTCTGTCCTTGCAGCAACAGCGACACAGTGAGGATTACTGCGAGCACACGGCAAGCATCGTGGAGCGCATCTATCGTCTGTTCCATGGCCTTTGCGCCAATCGACGTACCTCAGAGACGATCCTGCGATACTTCCGGCTTACCTGCAACGATTTCCTGTTGCGCCACCTCAACTCACTGCCGTTCCGCCAGCATCGCGAGGATCATGTCTTGCATGCCATGGCCCACCTGCTGACCTGCGTGGCCATCGAGGTAAAGCTAGCAGCGACGCATGGCCAGACGACGCGCTACAAGCTGCTCTGTGACATCTTGCTTAATGGCGCCACTGGTTCGGATGTTCAGCGCTCGGGCCATGCCATGCCCATGGATTTGCCGGCATCTAATTTCTTTGCCATGGACCTTCTACCAGGCGGTGGCGGCTCGATAGGGATGATGGGACCAGGAGCGGGACCACCATCACTATCGGTTACAGGAGCCAGCAGCCTGAAGCCACCGCCGCTGCTGCAGGAAACTGCGGTGGGATTACATGCAAACCGGCTGCTCGACTGCCTCTGCCTGGAGATGGATTCGAGTGAACTGCCACGCCTGGAGTTTTTTGACTCGCAGCTGACGACGACTCTGCTTCGGGACTGCGTGGGCGCCGGTAAAGGCGCTGGTAAGACTGGGACCAACTTGCCCGCTAACCTCATCAACATCCGTCAGCTTCATGACATCCTTTACGACGAACTGCGACTGGTTCAGAGCACGATAGCCAGTGGACAGCGCAAGGCTATTACCGCTGAGATTGCGGTGCTGCTGCAGCATGCCATCAGGCTGAATCAAATGCGGACGCAGCGCAGCGCCACGCTGGCGTTCATGGAGGCCTGGGGCCAGTTGGTGCAGGTGTTCTTTAGCAGCATGCCTGACGCCGTCCTGCCGTTAGCCTTGCGACGTCAGCATATCGTGGACATTGTGGAGAAGGTCATGATAAAGGTGCAACCCATCCAGCCGATCATCGAGATCTCGATTCAGGTCAGCGAGACGGTGCTGCTGCTCTTAGCCAATTTACGCTATTGCTGCTATCTGATTGAGGATCAGCGCGCAGACGATCAGTCTGAATTAACTTCCAACCCCAACGACACCCAGGCCCAGGCTAAAAAGAGCCTTGGCCTCGGCTCTCTGGGGGCTAGAGGTGAGAACGGTTCCTCAGGATCCAATAGCAACAACCTGCGGTTCATCCTCAAACGCCTGGTCGAGTGGATCATGATCAGCGAGGTCAAGTCGCAGAAGCTCCGTATCAACCTGTACGGCGCCCTGCTCAACTGTTTGCGAATTGTGAAGCGACAGCGCAGCGACGAAGAGCAGGAGTACCAAGAAACGTAAGTTTCACTTTCTTGAGGAGCTTCACATTACATTCCTTCCATCAACACAATTGAAACTTGATCTTATCCCCTCTCGCAGAGTCGCCAATCGCTTGGACAGCTCACGGATGAGTGGCATTGATATGCGCCGCGACGACCGCCAGCAATTGAAGGAGATGGCGGCCGCTGTAATCGGTCAGTTTGGCGAGAAGCTTATTGAGACCATCTGCCACGACGCTGTGACCGGACACGATGTCTGCAGGATGCTGGCTCTGTCCTGCCTGGACATGATATCCGAGCTGCATGCAGTGAGCACGCTAAGCGAATTTGTGACGATGCGCGGCTACCTCAAGCATATGCTGGACAGCTTGGCCAAGTCTGATGAGGCGCTATGCGGTATCCTGCTGCCGGTGCCGGACCACATGCGTCCGCTCTACGTGTACGAGGCCCACATGACTTTCTTTACGCGCATGGCCAACACAGACATGGGCGCCCGCCAGCTTCTCGGCGAGCGGGCCTTGGGAGTTTTGTCCAACATGCGAGTATACGACCTACAGCCGGACCTCAAGGCCAGTGAACTAAAGCGGGACGAGCCGCAGGCCTTCATACCGCCCTTGGACGAGCGTTTCCGTGCCATTCTGCTGCCAGCCCTGTCCCTATGCGATGCCATTGGGAACTCGCTGGGCCCACAAAACAATTCGGCGGCCCTGCAGGTGCTTAACTTTCTGTTTGCTCACATTGACATGGTGGAGGCCATGCTGCGCACGGCCACGCCCTTCATGGATCTGGGTCACCTGCGACAGCTGGCCGCCATTACGAGTCTGTTTGCCCGCACAACCACGCACCAGGTGACTGCTCTGGAGGATAGCCTGAATGTGGAGAACGACGTGGAGTTGCGCAATCGTCTGGGACGTCTACAGCAGTTGATGATCGTTGTGTTTGGTCGCTTTTCCGTTAACGAAGCGACCATCCGGCGCGTGCTGCAGCAGGAGCAGGTGCACGCCGAACTGGCCGAGGCCGGGAAAACTAAGCACGTCAAGTTCTTTTTGGACATTGCCGCCAACCTCTCGCTGTACTGTCGCAATGCGGTCACCAGCCATGTCAAAGACAGCATGACCTCCAAATACCTGCTGACCACCATAATCAACGACGTCACACCACTGTGAGTAATACACCCCAAAAATGGATCAGTTAAGAAGGCACATTTTTAATTAATCCCTTTCTAGGACTGGCGAAAAGGATGGCAAGAAACTGACCTCCATAATGCATGCCATTCTCAACCAGCTGAAGGGCTCCATCGGTTACTATCTCTCGCAGAAGTCCATAGCCGACAATCTGCTGCAGCAGCGCGCCTCCCTGCCCAATATAAGTTTCGGTCCCAACGGTGAGTTCAATATCTAATTTTTAATACGCGATACCGGTATCTAATTCTGACTTTTTCTCTCGATGTGTGATCTTCCACAGGCAAGCAAAGCTTCTTAGAGCTGAGCCAGCGTCACAACGAGAAACGCAGCGAACTGATGCAGGCCGTTTTCATTGCTGAACAAAACCTATATTTGCTGTGGATCCACCTGGACTTTTACCTGCGCAACGCCGTCGTCCATGCGACCGAGAACCGGAACGCCATCAACGAAAGCAACCTGATGGACGGCGCCGGACATAATGTGTCTGTTCTGAACGCTTCGCAGGACGAGATCGTGCAGCTGAAGCAGCTGCTTATCTCCACCTTCAACGAGACTTTCTGCACACAGCTTATCACGGCCAGCGAGGATTACACCGTCAAATGCAAGGGTTTCAATGCCTCGCTACTGCGACGTATCAAGGCGCTTGTCCAGTTCGCCCCGGTCTCTGCCAACGCAAACGGCAATGGGAACGATTCCACTGGGTTTCCAGTCTAGGTTAAATTGGCTTCTTGTTTGCGGTCTTTCTATGCGGCTTTCCAAGGATAAAAGCTACGCTAATTTCGTTGAGCGTCGCGTGTATTTTTTGTATTTAATTAATTCAATAAAACCGTTGATTTTTCTGTGCGAAAACGTATTTGTAGATCATTATATCCTTGCAGGGTAGTATTATTTCAGTCAGAAGTTTCCAACGCAGTAAATAAGTCACCTCCGACCATTTCAAGTATATATATTCTTGATCAGCATCAACAGTCGAGTCGATCTAGCCTTGTCCGTCTGCCTCTTTCTTCGCAAACTAGTCTATCACTTTTAAGCTATCTCAACAAAACTTTGCAGTTAGTTTTCTATATACTCTCACTCGTATATATGTCGGAACGGGCCGGATCGGACGATTATACCATATAGCTGCCATAGAAACAATCGGATAATTTTTAGAAAAAAAATATAACTTTTTCAATTTTCTGTAGATTTTCATTAAATTTAAAATAAAGCCATTTTAAATTATTCAAAAATTTTGTGTACAATTTTATGAAAATCGGACTATTATAGCTCCCATAAGAACGATCGAAAAATTAATACAATTATATATTATAACCTTTTCAGTTTTCAACAGATTTTCATCAAATTTGAGATATAGCAATTTTATATAATTCTACAATTTTGTGTATAATTTTATGATAATCGGACGACTATATCATATAGCTGCCATAGGAACAACCGAGAAATTAATACAATTAAAAATTATAACTTTTTCAGTTTTCAATATATTTTAATCAAACTTGAGGTATAGACCTTTTATTTTGTTATAGAATTTCGATTTTAATTTTATGAAAATTGGACAACTATATCATATAGCTGCCATACAAACGATCGTTACATACAGAGAAAAATGCAAATCTGTGAATTATAGGTGAATGAAATGATCGAAGTTTTAAGGGTATATACACTTCGGCGTGCCAAAATTAGCTTCGTTTATTGTTTTTAATAATATTTAATTTAAAACGAGAAAGAAAAATACAGCCTAGATTGTCTTACGAAAAATCCTTGGGTTTTGCTGTGGTATCGTTTCAATATCGGCAAGTCTTGAAGAAAACTCCGACGCAAGCAATTATGTCATATACTGCGATGGATCACCAGAATATTAAAAAAAAAAGAAAAAACTATCTGTTGTAAGTTTTAACACTTAAAAAATACCAATTTTGAATTATTTATTTATATACGAGCTTAAACTTCATCGCAGTATTTTCTCGATAATTTTATGTATTTTTCACATCTCTAACGAAGTGCCATCTCTAGCGCAAATCAACAACAACGCACGCCGCTAGCCGCGGTGCCGAAACGTTTGTTGTGAAATTTGCCAAGTTTTTACTAGTTTATTGATTTAAACAGCTACAATTCTTATTTTATTAAATACCTTTGGTGCCCGGGAGCACTTTAGAAACACAACAACATGATGTACGACAACGAGGAAGGTAAAATATCAATTTACCAAAAAGTGGCAACGTGAAGAGGAAAAGGAACATGGCGGCGCCGGGAGCGCTAGGGCTGCGCTATGTTGTTTCAGTTTTTTTTAGGCTTTTATTTAACGAATTTAATCTTTGCAGAGATGTACGAGGAGGAGAATGCGGAGGAGATCTCCCACGAGCTGTGGCAGGAAGCCTGCTGGATCGTGATCAATGCTTACTTCGACGAGAAGGGTTTGGTGCGCCAGCAACTGGACAGTTTCGACGAGTTCATCCAGATGTCGGTGCAGCGCATTGTGGAGGACTCACCGGCCATCGAGTTGCAGGCCGAGGCGCAGCATACCTCCGGCGAGGTGGAGACGCCGCCGCGCTTCTCCCTGAAATTCGAGCAGATCTACCTCTCGAAACCGACCCACTGGGAGAAGGACGGCTCGCCCAGTCCCATGATGCCGAATGAGGCGCGTCTGCGCAATCTCACCTATTCTGCGCCACTCTACGTGGACATAACCAAGACAAAGAATGTGGAGGGTATGGATCCTGTAGAGACGCAGCACCAGAAGACTTTCATCGGCAAGATACCCATCATGCTGCGTTCCACCTATTGCCTGCTGTCCCAGCTCACTGATCGTGATTTGACGGAGTTGAACGAGTGCCCGCTGGACCCCGGCGGCTACTTCATCATCAACGGTTCGGAAAAAGTGCTTATCGCCCAGGAAAAGATGGCCACCAATACGGTGTATGTGTTCAGTATGAAGGACGGCAAGTATGCCTTCAAGACGGAGATCCGGTCGTGTCTGGAGCACAGTTCGCGTCCCACCTCCACGCTATGGGTGAACATGATGGCCAGAGGATCGCAGAATATTAAGAAGTCGGCCATTGGCCAAAGGATCATTGCTATTCTGCCGTATATCAAACAGGAGATCCCAATCATGATTGTGTTCCGCGCCTTGGGCTTTGTGGCTGATCGCGATATTCTAGAGCACATCATCTACGACTTCGACGATCCGGAGATGATGGAGATGGTGAAGCCATCTCTAGATGAGGCATTCGTTGTGCAGGAGCAGAATGTTGCCCTGAATTTTATAGGAGCGCGTGGTGCTCGTCCCGGAGTCACAAAAGACAAGCGTATCAAGTACGCCAAGGAAATTCTGCAGAAGGAAATGCTGCCCCATGTCGGCGTATCGGATTTCTGCGAGACCAAGAAGGCGTACTTCCTCGGCTATATGGTGCATCGCCTGTTGCTGGCCTCTCTGGGCCGGAGGGAGCTCGATGACCGTGATCACTATGGTAACAAGCGACTTGATCTCGCCGGACCGCTGCTAGCATTCCTCTTCCGCGGCTTATTTAAAAACCTGATGAAGGAGGTGCGCATGTACACACAAAAATTCATCGATCGGGGCAAGGACTTTAATCTGGAGTTGGCCATCAAGACAAACATCATAACAGACGGTCTGAGGTACTCCCTGGCCACAGGCAACTGGGGTGATCAGAAGAAGGCCCATCAGGCGAGAGCCGGTGTCTCTCAGGTGTTGAATCGTCTGACCTTTGCCTCCACTCTCTCCCATTTGCGTCGCGTCAACTCGCCCATTGGCCGAGACGGCAAGCTGGCCAAGCCCCGTCAGCTGCACAACACCCTCTGGGGCATGTTGTGTCCCGCCGAGACGCCCGAGGGCGCTGCTGTCGGCCTGGTAAAGAATTTGGCACTTATGGCCTATATATCGGTGGGGTCGCAGCCCTCGCCTATTCTTGAGTTCTTGGAGGAGTGGTCCATGGAGAATCTAGAGGAGATTGCACCCTCGGCCATCGCCGACGCCACCAAAATCTTTGTCAACGGCTGCTGGGTAGGTATTCATCGTGATCCCGAGCAATTGATGGCCACGCTGCGAAAGTTGCGTCGTCAGATGGACATCATTGTGTCCGAGGTTTCCATGATCCGTGATATTCGGGATCGCGAGATACGCATCTATACTGATGCGGGTCGCATTTGCCGGCCATTGCTTATCGTGGAGAACGGATCGCTGCTGCTAAAGAAGACCCATGTGGAGATGCTGAAGGAGCGCGACTACAACAACTACAGTTGGCAGGTGCTGGTGGCTTCCGGCGTGGTGGAGTATATCGACACCCTCGAGGAGGAAACGGTCATGATAGCCATGTCGCCGTACGATCTAAAGCAGGACAAGGACTATGCCTACTGTACGACCTACACCCACTGCGAGATCCATCCGGCCATGATCCTTGGCGTTTGTGCTTCTATTATACCCTTCCCCGATCACAACCAGAGTCCGCGTAACACCTATCAAAGCGCTATGGGTAAATTTGCTGTCCTCAATAATATATTTACATACCGCTCATTCCCCGAATTCTCTTCTTCAAAGGTAAACAAGCTATGGGCGTGTACATTACAAATTTCCACGTGCGCATGGACACACTTGCCCACGTTCTATACTATCCCATGAAGCCTTTGGTCACCACCCGTTCCATGGAGTACCTGCGCTTCCGAGAGCTCCCAGCTGGCATCAATTCGATTGTAGCCATTCTCTGCTACACAGGCTACAACCAGGAGGATTCTGTCATCTTGAACGCTTCTGCGGTGGAGCGAGGATTCTTCCGCTCGGTATTCTACCGTTCGTACAAGGATTCAGAGAACAAACGCGTGGGTGACCAGGAGGAAAACTTTGAAAAACCGCATCGGGGAACCTGTCAAGGTATGAGGAATGCCCATTACGATAAGCTCGACGATGATGGTATTATTGCCCCGGGTATTCGTGTCTCCGGCGATGATGTGGTCATCGGAAAGACTATAACTCTGCCTGAAAATGACGATGAGCTGGACAGTAACACAAAGCGTTTTGCGAAGCGAGACGCCTCAACCTTCCTGCGAAACTCTGAGACTGGCATCGTGGACCAGGTGATGCTGACCCTGAACAGCGAGGGTTACAAGTTCTGCAAGATTCGAGTGCGCTCGGTGCGCATCCCACAAATTGGTGACAAATTCGCCTCCCGTCACGGGCAGAAGGGAACTTGCGGTATCCAGTACAGGCAGGAGGATATGGCCTTCACTTGTGAGGGTCTGGCGCCAGATATTATCATCAACCCTCATGCCATCCCCTCGCGTATGACAATCGGTCACTTGATCGAGTGCCTTCAGGGAAAACTTGGCTCCAACAAGGGCGAGATTGGCGATGCCACACCTTTCAACGATGCCGTCAACGTGCAGAAGATCTCCACGTTCTTGCAGGAGTACGGCTATCATCTTCGTGGCAACGAGGTCATGTACAATGGACACACGGGGCGAAAGATCAATGCCCAGGTAGGTTTAAGCGAGAAGTGGGTGAAATATTCCGATTTTTTACTTCTCCACTCTTTTCAAGGTATTTTTGGGACCCACCTATTATCAGCGCCTCAAGCATATGGTGGACGACAAGATTCACTCTCGGGCTCGAGGTCCCGTCCAAATTCTCGTGCGTCAGCCCATGGAGGGTCGTGCCCGTGACGGTGGCCTTCGTTTCGGTGAGATGGAGCGTGATTGCCAGATTTCCCACGGTGCCGCACAGTTCCTGAGGGAGCGTCTGTTCGAGGTCTCGGATCCGTATCGGGTTCACATCTGCAATTTCTGTGGCCTGATCGCCATTGCCAATCTGCGCAACAACACGTTCGAGTGCAAGGGCTGCAAGAACAAGACGCAGATCTCGCAGGTACGACTCCCCTACGCGGCCAAGCTGCTCTTCCAGGAGCTCATGTCCATGAATATTGCGCCTCGTCTAATGGTTAATTAATCATTGCATGTTTGGACCACTAAATCGTTTTAAGCCGAAAGTTAGCAATTAATTAATAAATTACCATAATATTGTGACAACTCAATTGGGCCCTTTGTCTGCTGTTTTCTATTATTTGAGGCTGCCTAACTGGAGCGAATGCCCTCTGTGCATTTTAAAGACGCGAACGTGCCGCGAGCTCTTTGGGGCGAAAGTCTGCACGGGTTCAAGAGCTCCCTTTCGGACGCTAAAGTGGAATGTGATTTATTTGGTTATTTGGAAATAGCATATTTTGTTAACAGCCCGCATGCTTATTTTTTTGGGCCCGGGTACATGGATTGGGTGAGTGAGTTGGCTGCTGGGGTGACCAGTGGAATGTCGGTTGAGGGATTATTATGTTAAACTATTGGAGCGTGTTCTCAAAGAGTTGTATATTCAGATTAGGGATGCAAATATTCTATAGGCCGATTAAATAAATCGCCAAAAAATAGGTGTGAAAATCTTAAAGCACTGTTTTAAACACTTCATTATTATTTCTTTTAATATTACTATTACTATTACCATTACCAATTTCACCATCATAAAGTGTATTCCAAATTCGACTTCTGAATGAAAGCCTTTCCATTTTCATTTATTTTTTTTTTGTTTGGCCTTTGTTGCTTTCTTTGATTTTGACGTAATCCTCGGCCCCGCGGTGACGCCCAGTGACAAAAGGGATTAGTTCTTTGTTGTCGGAAGTGTGGGGCTTGGAAGGTGGTGGAGCTGGCGATGGCAATGTCGATGGAGCCACAGCAGAGCCACCGCCAATCGACGGAACTGACAGTTATTAATTGCCACTTGACGTGGCGGGAAAAGCAGTTGCTGGCGGTGTTGATACCAATGTTCTGGCTGATGCTTGATGGCCAAGGCGATGCTGACATCCATCAGTCAGCCAGGCAGCCGGCCCCAGCTTGAACCTGAACTCGACCTGGAGGCCCAGACACGCTGAGCCTGTGCTTATGAGTAATTGAAATTGCGTGTAAATCCGCGAACGCAAAGTGGCGCCGATAAGATATAAAAAACCGGCGGCTCGCTCCTGAGGTGAGTATTTATTTATAGCGTCTTAAAAATAACTTATATTACTCCTGTTCCTTCGTCATCCAGATGATCACTTCTCCCCGTTGCTAAACACACTGATAGCGTAGAACTCGGGGACCCGGTACACCTTTAGGCGCTCATGGCTGAATCTTCCATTGGTCAGGGCCTTCACATAAAATATATCCTTGAGGCCATGCTCCTTCCGGCGGGAGGACTTTGTCTCGTCGAGGACGAGGCGCTGCTGCTTGGGCCGATAGGCACTGGATTTGTCCTGCAGCAACTTCACGAAGATAATGTCCTGGTCGTTGTTTCGCCCTGCCATATTCCTGGCCTGGTAGAGATTCTCCCGGGGCTGGGGATAAATGAGCACGGGCTGTATGGGCAGCACTTGGCTGGGCGATGTGGGATAGGCCTCCTCCAGTGCAGAGTCTGGCTCTGGGTAGTTTCTAAGATGTAGAGCAGGCGCTGCCCAGGATATACTAGGCAGATACAGCACTAGCAGGAGCAGGAGTGGACTAAGTATGTGATTTATCTAGTCAACGAGATATGATAAAAATTAAATTAATATTGGATATTTTGGAAATCATCCTTGTCTGCAAAATACATAATTAAGTACTTTAAGTCTAAGCATGTTCATTTAAAAATATTTGGGTTGTATTAGTATCTGAGTACTGAGTTTTAAAGAAACAATTAATTTATTAATTTAAAATACAATCTGAAATGTTCATAATAAATAGGAGATCAATGATTATGAAAATCAGCATCACAAATTAAAAAAAAAAAATAAACCATTTTCTAAAATACATATAAAATATTTATGCCGGATATTAATCTCCCTATCTCATGCACGTTAGCTTTCTTTGGTTTGATTTATTAATTTTAGGAGGCCAATAAAAGCCGAGATAAATGATAGAATTATGACACTTCAATTAGTATTAAAACACACAACTTTTTGTCTTTTTTTCATTGTTTCAAAATGATTTATAACTTTGCCTCGGGTTCTCCGTTTTATCGCACCGATTTGCATATCTAATTGATCTACAAAACTCAGCAAATTAATTGCGGTTTGTGACCAAAGTGAATTAGTTCCAGTCAAAACACGATATCGGTATTTATCTATATATATATTTCTCCTAATGACTTGCTCTTGTCTTTGAATTACCGTTTTCATTGCGTTTGCTAATTCCCAAGCTCAAGTTCGAACTGATATATATAAATTTATGTGAACCTAATCGGTTTAAGTTTTTCGCCCTTTTTCGGCAGAAATAAATAAATGCGAGTAATAGAAACGTAATATCACAGGCGATGGGGCGATCTCAGGCGGCGATCGAGCGCGACGCGCGAATGTCAGAAGCAGACTGGCGTGCGACAAGGCCAAGTTAACTCCATTTACCGCAGAAGCTCAGGTCTTACCAGACTGAAGCTCAATAAAAAACCAACTAACAGATAAAAAAGAAGGCCCGGACTGGAAGAAGAAAAGGCAGCAGCAGCAGCAGCGGAGGCTACGCAGCTTCGCAGCTGTCAACAAATTGCAAACGGTAGGCAAACGTAGACACATAATTGTGGTTAAAATTAACCCATTAATTTGCTTGCATAAATGTTAATTTACAATTTAATTGCTATAAATATATAAAGATATTTTAATTTCAAGTGTTTAAGAAATATTGTTTCCCCGTATTTTATCGTTTAAAAAAAGGTGTATTTATTGTGAGCACATTTAACCTTTATATAAGTAGAATGCAGAAGAATTTTTTTCCTTACTTTATTTATAAATATTTTCTTTACTTGATAAAACAATTAGTAAGTACAATTTTGTATTTTATTGCTTATCCAATAAAATCATATTTTACAAGTTATGGAAACCATTTCTAATCGTTTGAAATAAAAACAAAAAAGTTTAAACAGCAAAACTTATTATTAGCTCCTATTAAGTTTTAAAATCGAGCTATTGCCCTTCAAACGCTAATGGGTTAATGAATCAAGATTTACCTCAATGGGCGGAGATCATTCATTATTTGTGCTATTAATTGATCACTAGGTCGGAGTGTCGATAGGGTCAATGTTATCAGCCAAGCGACGGAAAGCCTGTTCGGCCCAATCACCAGTGTTTATATTTATGATGAGCTCAAAACTAATTTCCAGCAGCTGCTTACAGGTGAAGAAGTTTATGCGCCGACCGTGTGATGTCAAATTTATTATTATAGCCTCAAGTAAATGGAAAAAATCACATAAAAAACCGACTGAAATAAAGTTTAGACAAGTAGAAATGCTTAATTAGCAAATATTTGCGCTGCCGCCTTGAGATTCAGTAAAGAGTTTTGCACACTTTGCCGGATTGCTGTCTTTTGTTTGCAGTTGTTGAGGTTAACAAATAATAATAGAAATTTCTGGCTAAATACTTGTCTGTTGGAGGGTTCTGCTGATTGCTGACAAATCAATCATACGCACCGTGGCCAAGCGAAGAAGATGAAAATCAATTACAGCGTGGAGTGCAGAGACCAAAGTTAAATAAATAAATAAGCAGCGGTAACAAGGCCAAAAAGCGAAATTTAATCGCTTTAAATGTGAAATTATGGCCCAAAACGGTAAACAAACAAACACAAAACCAAGTGAAGCACGAATAATTACAAGTTTGAGTATTGTTTGGGCCAAGCAGCCCTCTCTCAGCCATGGCATAATCAAAACAGTTGTCGCCGCGATTTCGCTCTGGAAACTCGATTGATTTGTCGTGACTGATTAATTGCATCTCGAGCTACCCCTTGATTGTGTGTCCCCTCCTCCTCCTTTGCATAGTCGATATTCGGCTTTCGTTTCGACCTTGTTTTCGCTTTCGGCCAGATTCTTTTCGCCCAAAAGAAGCGCCCGGGCTCTAATGAGCACATTCGCATGCTCACCTGGCCTGTCCATCGTGTGAAAGGTGAATACTTAAGTTGGGGGAGTCCATCTATCCGATGCTACTGTTTGTGCAAACAAACCTCTCTAAAAAAAGGGAAAGCTTTTTCGATTCAAGAGAGGTGTCGGCATCGATGTTTTGTGGCGCCAGCATTAGCCACAAATTGTGGTTTATGCGTCTGGCCGAAAGCCATAACGATTCATGGGGGAGTAACACGCAGGTATCATGTATGGTATATCGGCTTTCGGTTAGGGCCAAAGGTTAATCCACAACTACAAACAATAAGAGCAAATTTGATTGGCAAGAAAATAATAGAGAGGAGTGCAAAGCTCATTGATTGTTTATTTTAAATTGCAAATACTATTGTATAAATTAAATATATTTAATAGGATTTCGTTTATTGATTATTCATTGTCAGCGATGGGCTATTTATTTGTTTATGATTTACCATAAATTTGGTTAATTTTATACCCTTACGACTATTAGACTTTTACTTAGAAGTTTGCATACTCAGTAAAGTAGTCATTTCCGACCTTATAAATCTTATATGTTATTGATCAGCATCAAAAGCTAAGTCGATTTAGCCATATCCGGTAAAAAAAAGTTTCGAAAAAATCACAATTTTATACGGGGTTAGTTAAATCGTTAAAATTGTCAAAAATCGATAAAAAGTTGAATATTTTAAAATTTAAAGTTGAGTGTGCAGATTTATTAAACTACAAAAAATTAACATAAGAGTGGTTTCCAAATTAATATGTATGCTTTTTTGGCTTAGTTATGCCATTTGTAAATTTGATTTGTAGAATATATATTCAAAATAAAGAGAAATATATTAAAATATCCAATTGTTAACCCTATAAAAACTAGCACAGGAAAGCTTTCCGAATTGAAATTAATGTATTTGGTTAATATAAGCTCGATTTAGGATTCGGATATGAAGCCAATATGAAGCTGCAAGGGCATACGAACTTCGGGTACTACACAGTAAGCTTCCTTTCTTGTTCATTGTGTTTTATATAATCCATAAAAATATACTGTCAAGAGGAGGAAGCTGGCAAGCTTATGGAATTATTTAATGTTTTTGCAGCTCCTCCGCTTTTTGTTATTTTCTTTCTTACTTTTGCCAATTTATTATGCAAGTTATTGTTGTTAGCAGTGGCATTTTGTATATTATATCACCAATGTTTTGATGAAAACAAAATGTCAAAAACTAGAGTCACAAAACAAATTGGAGTGGAGATGAAAATTAATATTAATACGAAATATATTTATATAAAATTTGCATTTAATTTAATTATTGATTAATATTCGCTATTAGCCTTTTTAAAAGTTTTTTTTTTGGGTTTAACGGAATTGTATTCATAATTATTTTATGATTTTACTGTGCGGTTATAAAAAAAACTCGCTTAATCACAGCAAATTAAGTTATTATGAGCAGCAAATTTAAATTTTAAATGTATCCAGGTACCTTTAAAGCATTCAGTTAATTTTTATTATTAACTCTTTCATGAGTTTATATGGTGTGGTTAATCTGTATTATGGTACCCAAAATACCCCAATAAATTATGTGCAGCATATTGAACGCTTCAGATTTACCCATTGTTACTTATTTAAAACCACTCGAACATTTAATATATTCACCGAGAAATAAATAAATAATCCACAGCCCAGTGCGTGTATGTGCTTTTTCTTTGTGAATAATTTTGATTCTCGTTAAAGAGTGAACACAATCGTAATCCCGAATGGCCGGATTTAAGCGGATATTTCCCTTTCAACACCTTCTTTGAGCTTTTTCGCACAATTTCCCGGGGCTCATTAGCATTGTTAATTGATAACATTTGTGGGCGAGAGGGAATACACATATATATATGTATATATGAACATATGTATATACCGCACAATTTATAACAAAATAATCATAACTTTGTCTCGAGGAAACAAGGATGTCTGTCTAGTATTAATATTATTATTCATGTAAACGAGCTTCTCTTTGTGGCTTTCTGTGTGCAAATACGAAAAGGCCCAAAAGGTGCTTAACTATGAAATACGATGACAAGACAAACGGCGTTTGCTGCGCGTTTTTAATTACCATAATTACATAACTGCACACACACACACACCCCGGCACTCTCTGGCACGCACTTACTCACGCACACACGCGCCAGGAGAATGCTGTTGCCCGCGCCTCCAAGTATGCAGCACATTCACCCGGGAAACAAGGGAGCGAAAGCAGGATTAGTGCTGGCAAGGATTTTCACAAAAGGGAGCTACTAGTGACAGCTAATAAATTTTGAAGGATTTGGATGGGGCGAAAATAAAATTATATACATATATTAAATTGAAATAAGAAAGAAAGTTAATTTCGGGAACCCGAAATTTGTATATTCTTATAGTGAAAATCGATCATAACTAAGCCAATAAGAAATGAATTTCAATTCCGAAACCTTTTCTATGTTAGCTTTAGTAATTAAAAATATCTAGATCGACTCGGTTTTTAGTGCTGATCAAGAATATGTATGATTTATAGGGTCGGAAATTACCCCTTTACTGTGTGCTGCATGCTTCTTTTATTGAATTATTATTAGTTATTCTTTTATTAAATTTCTGTTTTCATTTATCCATGTTTGTTTAAACAAATCCAGAGGAAATAAAACCAAACTTCTGAAAACCCTTTCACCCAAAGCTGAACTATGCATATTTCTTAAGTTTAAAAATATATAAAAAAACAGCTGAACAGACAACTCTAGGAGGGGCTGTGAAGTGGGCTGGGGAGACTGAGCTCTTTTATTGTTGTTATCGCATAAACTTAAATAGTTTTTGCCAGCCACTTTGCGGCTTTTAAGTTATTTTGCGTGCACCACTTGAGCGGAGCACTTTTATTCCTCCCTCGGTCCTGTCCTCGTGCCAGAGGTCCTCCTCGTGGGTCGTATTCTGTGCTGGTCCCGGGGCCAAGGACCTTTGGCGGGGGATGGGCAAAAAATTACAGAGACAGTTGGAAACAGGCGAAACTTGAAGGGAGTTGGGTAGTTGGGGGCTTAGTGGCAGTGTTTGAATGTTTAACTGGCTCCGTTAATTAAATTGCCAGTCGCTTCCTTCTCCTGCACGTGGATACTTTTCCACCTGTTTCCTCGGCCGCAAATTAAGTCAAAGTTCCTCATTCCCCTCACTTCTGTCTCATGTCTGCTGCATATAGTAATTTTGCAACACAAGCCTTCTTTCGGGGGCTTCCCCTTTGGCGGTCGCGTGGCCGTGCAAAAAATAAGGAGAAAGAACCTGGCTAAATGGTTTGCCATTAATTTTTCGTGGCATGTCGGTTATTAACCTGCCTGGCACCGCTTTTCCTTTTCCTTTACCTTCAGTTTGGCTTTCCCCTCGTTGCAGTCATATTTTTGCAGCCCGAGGGCGTGGAAGCCGCTGCGGGGCGTGGCTGACACAGTTCGGGAATCAAAGCTAAAAATCACAACTGCATTTGGGGGCCTGGCTCAAAATTAATTGAAAAATTACTACACCCAAGGCGGAGTTCGGAA